AAAAGGGGGGGGGGAGGGGGCACATTGGGGCCCGTGCAGCAAAGGGATCTCTGACTTGAGTGGGGTGGGAGAGGGTGGGCAGGGAAAGCTTCCCCAGGGGGCAACCCCGGGCTGAACCTGGGAGGCCCACCTGGGTGGCCAGATGGGGAGGGCAGTGTGGGCCCCGGGCCTCCGATCTGGAGAGAGTTGCCCCATGTTTCAGTGACCAAGTCGCTCACTGATGGAGGCCCTGGGACGGCTGTTGGAGGAAAGGGAGAGGAAAGCAGAGGAATCTCATTGGGAATCTCATCTTTGCCCCTGTTGTGAAAGCTGCGATTGGGGGGAGGAGAGGCTTTGAAGCACAGTGGTTTTCGGTAGACATGTAGCTGCGGCAGCAGTGAGGAAGGCGCACTGCAGAGCCATAGACTGGCTGCTCGGAGAACAGTAAGGAGATTCTGCAGTGATCTAGAAATGAGTTAAACCAATGGTGGGTGGAAAGGAAAGAAAAAGTGAGATATGTAAGGGGCAGAAGCAGTAGGATTTACTGACTGGTGCGGTAGCAAATGCAACAACGTCCAAGTTTCTTGTTTGGGAAAATGGGAGGATGGTGGCCCGTCCTCTGAGCTAAAGAAGAGAGGGAGAGAAGGCTCCGGAGTGGGGGATTTTATGAGTTCAGTTTTGAGCATGTTCAGGTGGAAATGATGAGACAGCCATAGGGTGTTTTACTTATCTGTGGGAACTCAGAACAGGGCTCTGTGGTAGAAATGAGGATTTGAAAGCCATCAAGCATTGAGAACTATTGATGCCTAGGGTTTGGCAAAGGTTGCTGGGAGGCAGTGGATGGGATGGGATGAGCCAGATGCCAGAGAGGAAGTTGGGGACCTCTGACCCTCAACCGGTGGGCCTGAAGAGGAGGTCCCAGATGTGGGAGGGCAGCCAGGAAGGGGGGTGTCACAGCAGGGTGTCCGCAGATGGGGGGAGGGTGTTTATACTTCTCCTTAAGCCCTGTTGGTACTGAGGGGAAAAACTTGCAAAGTCCCAGCCCCCAAAGACCCTGCTCTTCACCATCCACTTTGTTTGAAAAAAGGTTTCCAGGGCTGCAAAATAATAATAATAATAATTATTATTATAAACATTGTAGTAGGTAATATAATTATGTTAGATTACATTCTTAACTATTTGGGGAAAATATCGATCACAACTTTATATGATATAGAAAAATAAATTACAAACGTGTTAAAAAGTTAAATTTAATAACTGAACCATAAAAGGTTTAGAAGAAAATGTAAATGAATACTTATCTTACTGCACCGAGATTATTTCTAACAACCAGCTAAGGCAGAAACTGAAAGAAAGGAAAGGTAAATAGATTTGATTATTTCAATAGGTAGATCCTGTATGTAAGAAGTTCCATAGGAAATTAAAAAGCAAGTGACACTCTGGTGGATAGATTAAAGGAGAAAAGAGAGTAAATCATCTTTTAATTTTGTGTGTATTTACATTTTTTACTCTTTTTAAGTATATTTGTTATCTTTACAATTAAAAACAAATTTGCTTAAGATACAAACTAGAAAAAGTATAACCATTTAAGAGAGATAAAGTTTGAACAGTTTACAAAGTATTAAAAAACAGATGCACACTCCTAAAAAAAGAAGCAATGAATGTGAAGTCAGCTCACAGAGGAAGAAATACAATTGACTTATAATTTATGAAAAATGTCCAAGCACCTACTAGTTAATCAAAAGAGCACAAACTTGTAAATTAAATAAGATTTTTTTAATCAACCAAATTGGCTAAGGGATTTTAAATGCTGTTGCCAATTTTGTTGTTGAAATCTCTCAAAAGTGTTAGCTAAATGAGATTCCCTTTAAACAGAAAAATGCGACTCCCATTCTTAAGTTCATAAAGCTTAATTAGTATTTCCTCATAACAACCAAGAATTCCAGTGTGATACAGTATATGCATGTATTAGATAATGGAAAGGCTAAGCTGCTTTCACAAAGACCCAACGATACAGCACTGTGTAGAAAAAAGACTTCTATTTCTCACTTTAATTAAGTCCTGAGTCAGTGGTCCATGTTGGTACAGCAGTTCCAGGAGATCGTCACCCCTAGTGCTTTGTTCCCATTTGTGTAATCAGAGGTGGGTTCTAGGCAGACTATGTTGTATTTCACAAGAAGAGGAAGAGAGTAGATGAGCCCAGGCCTCAGATGTAAAAGTCACACAAATCGCTTCTCTTCTGCTGTTGGTGAAGACAGTTACAGAGACACCCCGTACAGCAGAGGGCACCTGGGCCCCCAGCGCCCCGCCGCAGCTCTGTTCCTGCGCCAGAGGGAGGAAGATTTGGTGGGTGACCGCTGATCTCAGCCACAGCTCCAATTTCTGAACAAAACATATCAAAAAGCAAAAGTTTCTCTGAATGAAATTAAACAACTATCACTACTTTTGTGTTCAAGTTCGAGAGATTCAGTAGAATTCTTAGGATGCCACATCTTTACAGTGTATGAAACAGTGATTCCAAATAGTAATGTAAGTGGTAGTTTCTAATAATGTTTTAAATTACTCTGCTATGTTTTCTGGTCTTATTTACCCTGAATCACTTGCAATTCCATTACAATTTATCAGTTAATTTATGTTTTTCAAATAATGTATTTTTCCAATTCTATTAGGTTACTGAAACCAGTAATGCATTAGGTTAAATTTAAACAACACAATAAATCGCTTGTCACATATATTTGGCATAAATCCCTTGTCACATATATTTGGCATAAACTGAAAGGGTTAGTAACTTATGGATAAATACTATAAATATTAGAGGTCTCATTAAGTAGAATCATACAATCTGTGTCTGTTTGCATCTGCCTAATTCTATTTTGTATCTTCTATACAACTAACATTAGTTAAGAGAATGTGTTATCACTTAAAAGTAAAGTTCCAAATTTTTCAGCTGGTTTATCGTCAAGAATCATAATCATTATATCCATGTATGCTGATAATAATTTTCTTCAACAACTATATGAGTAATTTTGTTTTTTGACATGCATATGCAACTAAATATGTTAGCAATACTTTTTCATTAACCTCATTAGTGTTGACAAATATATAGATTTTTTTTTCTTTCTTTGAAAATACTTGAGGGCCTTATCAACAAGCTCAACTTGCTATACATCCAAGGTTTTTTTG